GTTTGAGCAATACTGCTAGTTCATGCATGCTTTTTAAGAAGCATAAAGCCCTCCTGGCTTTCCTCAACCTTATGCTTTTCTAGGAGGAGGTGACCTGGCTAAATTGCTAAATCTCCCTCGCGAGGCCCACGTGATGTTCTTAACAGCTTTGCTTATGTTGGTAGAAATACAGCTTAGCAGCGTGGTCAGAGGGATGCCACGCCATATCGGCATAAACACAGCATTTATATATCTAAGGAAGGATATCGTGCATTTTTGCTGACAAGTGTGCTAGAAACAGTGAGACCGAGAGTGCAGCGTGAAAAGAGAAGAAGCTCATGACAGACCCACGGGCCATTTACATTTGTTCCTTATGTGCTGTTGGCTGTGTGGTTTGTTTATCATGAATCAGAGCCATATACTGTAGCTGCCAGTCATGAGCATGAGCTGGCGGCAGTAGTGGAGTGGGGTGGTTGTGGTGCAGAGAAGGGGGGCAGGTGAGCAAAGAGATGGGTAAGGCTGTAGGATGATGACCGGGCAACCAGTCAAGGATTTGAGTGACCAGTTACCTCCCACTGAACAGCAAGACAGAAGGCATGCCAGCAGAAAAACCACGAGGGCTGTGGAGCTCTGCTTACATGTGTCCAGTCAGAGGCAGTCCTTCGTGGAGAGGAGACGGGAGCAGAATTGATTGTACGTGGTAGACCATAAATGAAGGTATTGATTTTGGGGTTGGAGTCACAGGATGAGGTCTTGAAATAAATTGAAATAAACATATCAATACATCACGTATGTTACACCCCGAGCACATGCATACACTTCCACAGATATATTATGAACCTTGTTTAGCCTCTTAGATGGTTGATTAATGCACCTGGACTGTAAGGGCTTTTATACGCCGATGAATAAAACTGGAAAACTAAGCCATCATTCCTGATTATAATTGTTTTAAGCTTTAGTTTTTGTGACAAATATTACATTTCTGTTATTTTAGGTGAATTAGGATTTACTGACTAAAATGAGAAGATGTTTTAAATCTCTGCAATCTTTTTTGTAACAGGCACTACAGCGCAACATCTGGTCCTTTATGTAGTCACATTATTTTCTGTTTAAAAGTGAGTAAATGTAATGAATGAATTAATGTTATTCTGCCATTTATTATGTGCTTTTTACAGTTCATTTTTGAAATTATTTTTGTTTAGTTTTACAATAGTTTTTATAGTAAAAAGAGTTAAATGAAAAGCAGGCATGAGTGATACCAGTCACTTTTTGAATTTAGCAAATCCATTTCATCTGCATAATAAAAGAATAAAAAGAGCACTATAAAGTGAGCACTCAGGAAAGGTTAAAGCACTTCCATTTTATGGGTCAGAGGGAGACGCTTTAGCTGGAAGGGGGGGGAGAAATGATGTGGCTGGGAGACCAACAGAATCTCAGTGTAAAGACCTAGCAGCCAATTAAGAGAAAGGTCAGATCATAAAGGAGGAAGCAACAAAGGCTCTGCACACAAGGCAACGACATCTCCTCTTTTTCAACTATCTCTCAGTGCACAATCTCTCTGCTGCTCGCAAAATGTCCTTATGTCTTTTATAATGACTATTTGTTTTATGAACCATGTTTCATAGATGATTATTCAGAAGAATAAAAGTTTATGCCCAGCTGCAGGGGAATTTGCAGCCCAGACATGTTCAAGCATTACTGTGTATTGCATCAAACAGAAACTTTCTGAGAAGGAATTAAATCGACATGTTGTGCACTAAAAGCCTGAAAACCCTGAGGATGATCCAAGCTGCTAAAACAAACCAACTGGCGATTTGTAAATTAGCCACCTTTTCTTAAATATTTTAAACCATGGGTCTCCAACTTTATTTCCTCAATTAACAAAATGAATGTGGCTGAGAGCTAATTGTATCTGATTTTACAAGTTAGATTTATTCACATATCCTATCAAAACACTCAAACTGATCCCTTATTTGCCAATATCCAGTACTGTACTGATATCCAAGTTTGTACCAGCAACATCATAAGCTCGCATCGGTCATCACAAAATGTAGGTGATCTGTGTATTTGTGTGTTTTAAATAAATTAAATGGTAGTTTGGGCATGAACACAAAGAACAATGAAGGCAATTAGCACAGGCCAATCTAAAACCCCAACATGGTGTAAAGTGTAATTAATAATTTGGTTAAATCTGAACACCTGCCTGAGGACGAGGGCAATAAATTGACTGGCTTTTGCTCATATTGTATTCTAAGTCATGTTAACCCAGTTCTTCTGCTCTTCACTCCCAACAAAATTCTAACTTACATACTCACGCACCAAATATTTTCTCTGGGGAATACTGCCTGAGAGTGTTTGGGAAAATAATAAATAAATTAACTAAATTTCTTACCTGGGCAATAATGGTAGCAAATCACTGAGTGTTTAGAATGGATCAAAACAGGAACGTTACAGACCAAACAACCAAAGCAAAGATTCTAAAACTCTCCACTGAGCTGAAGGGAATAAAAGAGTTAGTGGATAGTTCTCTGCGGGTTCATTACCGATGCTCTGTTCAACAGGGACAGGTAGTCATGGGAGCTAATGTTAATCTAAGAATATTGATTATAGCTGACTTATAGCATTTATCAATCCTACCCTTCACTAGCTACCCTTCACAAATTTGTCTCCTAGTGACCATAAAAAAATTATTTGACCATATGCAATAAACCCCATCAGACACACAATGAAGCAATGTTTCCATTAATTCAGGGAACATTACAATGACTTATATTTGTTTCTTGGAGACTTACCATAATGACTACTTGCCTAACACCTAACCCTGACCCTAAACTTAAACCAAGTCATCACTTAAAAAGGTATTGATTTATGCTTTAGGGACTTATTTTTTGTGTTTGTAAGGACACTGAGTCCCCACAGTGAGACTGTGTAAACAGAATTACATCCCCACAGCATGAGAAATACTAGGCCACTTATTACACACACACACACACACAAACAACATGAGAATGATTTAAGATGCTCTGCAGTTGGTGAGGTTAACTGTCCCTCTGTAGTTTTGTCATGAATAATACTGAAATGGCTTTAAAAAGGTTTGACATATCATCCTATTCTCACAGTGATTAATGTGTTCATGTATGGACTTATGCATGCATTTCAGGGACCATGTGTATTTCTTGTTTCATCACATCACAGCACATGACCTCCTGTTCCTCCAGAGCCTTTAGCCCAGCCTTTCAGTTGCAGCATCACAGGTTGCTCCATAAAAACATCCCAGCAGCAGGAAACAAGATCATTATGGCTATGAAACAGTCTAATTTCGAAGGGCTTCTGGTCCCTCCTTCCTGCTCCCATAGACACAGCCTTTGCCTTCACCTTAGGACCAGCCAGCCATGGCCTCTGTTCCCTGTCCCATTTACTGAATATAGTTTATGTTTTGTTGAAGTGGTGGCAGGTGGGAGCGGAGGAGCTGGGGG